GTCTGAGTCTACCCCTTTTCTTGCCACCCTTCCCTGCTCTTTCATTCATGTTGTCATATGACTTGGCAAGTCTAGTTCTGAGTATGGACTCAAAATAATTGAAAACAGAGTCTTGAGCTGTTTGTACACCCATGTTCATAGTAGCATTATTCTCAATAAGTAAAACATGGAAGCAACCCAAATATCCATCAGTGAATGAATACATAAACAAAATGTGATATATACATCAAATGGAATAGTATTGAGCCTTGAAAAAGAAGAGAATTATTACACTTGCTGCAAAGTAATTGAACACTGAAGAGTTTCTGCTCAGTGAAATCAACCGGTCGCAAAAAGACAAATACTGTGTCATTCCACTTGCATGAGGCGCTTACATTAGTGAACTTTATAGAGACAGAAAGTAGACTAATGGTTTCAGGACCTGGAGGAAGTGGGCACTGAAGAGTTAGAGTTTCAGTTTTGCAAGGTAAGAAGAGTTATGCAGAAGGATGGTGGGGATGGTTATCATTACTTTAATGATATTAATATACTTAGTACTAATGGAATGTACACTTAACAATGTTTAAGATAGTAAATACTATGCTTTGTGTGTTTTACTGCAACAAAAAGTTGGAAAAAATTTACAATCCCTGTAGGTCAGTGATTTTCCAATTTAGCAACTTTTACCACTTTTAGATTTCATTTGCCTTTTCTGTATCAGTATTCCCAGTAAACCTCTTCTAAGAAAAAAAATTCTTATGAGAATAAATGATTCTCTGGTGCAGCTACTCCTTAAAGGAATGCTGGAATTTTTGTTTCAGCATAAGGTTGATAAAGAAGTAAGTAATAAATGCAAGAAGCCTTGTTATTTATTTCACTTCATGGTAACCCCAGGTATAGTGTGGCTATTGCTCCAAGTATACCAATACCCACAATCAGAAGCTGCTGCTCTTTTTAGCAATTTAGCTTTATTGTTGTCCTTTTTACCATTCTCCACCTCTCATATATCCTGCTTTGCAAAAACCCCTGAGGGGCAATAAGACAAGAAACAACACCCACTCTACATCTATTTATATACCTTTAAAGCCTCTCTTTTTGCATGTTTCTAGCATGTGTTCTGTGATGGTACAATGGCATGCAGTATGTCATTTATTAATGAATGAATATACATTTGCAGGGGGTGAGTGCTCAACTTTTTTCATTGAATGGGGTTTGGAGAATAGGATCTCCACATGAAAACTTTCTGCCAGGGCAGGAGCCTTGTTTTCTCCATATGAATCTTTATAACTCAAATGTCCATGCCTCTTGCCTACACTTCCTTGGCTTCTTGAAAGAATACTAATTGGAAAAATATGATGACAGACAAGAATTAGGTGGCCAGAGCATAAACCAGGAAGGGAGGCCTTCTATGGCATGTAGAAAACTGCAAAACTACTCCATGGGGTACAAAAATCAGCACATGAAAACCAGTGAGTAGAAATATTCACCTACAACCATTTTGTATTTCCTGCCAGCTTGCCTGGGGCTTTCTTTGCTCTGATTCACCTTAGTCCTTTTGATTACTCAGACTAGACTGGGCCCCAGGACATGCAAACCTAACTTGTCAGATAAGGAGACAGGAAAAAGTTGGGTATCAGCCTTAACCTAAAAGAGTTTTAATAATTGAGGCAAAGAATATTATTTGGGGAACATTAACATAATTATGAAATGTCTGATTCAGTAGCTGATCCATGCGTAAATGGATGTGGGGTGTGTGTGTGTGTGTGTGTGTGTGTGCTCAGTAGTGTCCAACTCTGTGACCCCATGTACTGTAGCTCACCAGGTTCCTCTGTCCATGTAATTTTCCAGACAAGAATACTGGAGAGGGTTGCCATTTCCTTCTCCAAGAGATCTTCCCAACCCAGAAATCGAACTCGTGTCTCTTGTGTCTCCTGCATTGGTATGTGAATTCTTTACCACTGTGCCACATTGGATAATTGGCGGTATCTGGTAATTTTAGGTAAATACTGAAAAAATTTGAATTCAAGGTACTTAGATGAAAGTTATAGTCTTTTTTTAGAGATAAAACGGAAGGATGTTATAGTTATTGTTTGGGAAAAGGATTTTTTGGCTGGTAGTGTATGAGTATTGATTTTATGCTTTTTCTTATTGTATGGCACTTAATCTGTCAGATGACTTTTGAAAACAGTGTTTTGATTTGATGGTGGTGGTGGTTTAGTCGCTAAGTCATGTCCAACTCTTGCGACCCCATGGACTGTAGCCTGCCAGTGTCCTCTGTCCGTGGGATTTTCCAGGCAAGATTACTCAAGTGGATTGCCATTTCCTTCTCCAGGGGATCTTCCCGACCCAGGAATTGAACCCGGGTCTCCTGCATTGCAGGCAGATTCTTTACTGACTGAGCTATGAGGGAAGATTTCTCTTTGATTTGGTGGGTGTTAGGACGCTGTAAAGAGCAATATTGCATAGGAACCTGGAATGTTAGGTCCATGAATCAAGGCAAACTGGAAGTGGCCAAACAGGAAATGGCAAGAGTGAATGTTGACATTCTAGGAATCAGGGAACTAAAATGGACTGGAATGGGTGAATTTAACTCAGATGACCATTATATATACTACTGTGGGCAGGAATCCCTTAGAAGAAATGGAGTAGTCATCATGGTCAACAAAAGAGTCTGAAATGCAGTACTTGGATGCAATCTCAAAAATGACAGAATGATCTCTGTTTGTTTCCAAGGCAAACCATTCAATATTGCGGTAATCCAAGTCTATGTCCTGACCAATAATACTTAAGAAGCTGAAGTTGAATGGTTCTATGAAGACCTACAAGACCTTCCAGAACTAACACCCAAAAAAGATGTCCTATTCCAGTCCCTAGGGGGCTGGAATGCAAAAGTAGGAAGTCAGGAAACACCTGGAGTAACAGGCAAATTTGGCCTTGGAGTATGGAATGAAGCAGGGCAAAGGCTAATAGAGTTTTGCCAAGAGAACGCACTGGTCATAGCAAACACCCTCTTCCAACAACACAAGAGAAGACTCTACACATGGACATCNGCATCGGGGACAATTCTTCACTGGGCAGGCTTCACGGCAGGACACGCACCACCTCTGCCCCACCCCTGTCTCTCCACAGGCCAGTAGTTACTTCCTCTTTGAGAGCAGGACAACAAACATGTCTGCACTCCTAAATGCCCCCTGCCTGAGACTAAGGCTATAGTCTCTGAGCATCAGATTTTATCTGGGCATGGCACCTGCTCCACCACCTAAGAAGTGGTTTTGGAGGAGCAAATGCGTGGCAGCTTCTTATGAACCTAAGTGGGTTATGCAAATGGTATCATCACATGCATTCACATGTGGGCAGCCTGCCAATTAGGGGCAGGGCTTGGGGGGTGGGTGGGTCCTATCACCTGGATCCTAGGTGAGATGTATGACACAATGTCAGCTCTCCAGTCATGTACTAGAATACTTGTCAGCTACTTATTCTGAAAATGTTTTCCCTCTGTAAGTGGGAAATTCTGGTTTACAAGTGTTCCTGGAGGTAACAACCACACAACACTGTGAATTTTAAGAGTGGATTCTAAGTACATGAGCTACTGGGGCAGGCAAGCAGGAGGGCAGCCTCAATGCAGCTTCAAAGAGGCCGGTTTAGGACAGTGCCAAAACTGACCTGGAGACAGAAGAACACTTCTCTTAGAGAGCAAGGGATAACTGATCGTGGGAATTACTTCAAAGATCAACAGTACAAGGTTGATGCATCTGCTCAACCTTGGTGCACCTGCTCTCATTCACACCAGAGCAGGGCCAGCATGCACAGGGCTGGCTTCCAACATGTCATACTGCTCTGTTCCTTAAAGCTTCCAGTGATGCTCACAAAAGGGCAAAGGGCATCTGAGAGGCTGCTGCATGCAATCTGTATGCGCCCTGATGAGAGTTGGACTGTGCAGAAAGCTGAGCGCTGAAGAATTGATGCTTTTGAACTGTGGTGTTGGAGAAGACTCTTGAGAGTCCCTTGGACTGCAAGGAGATCCAACCAGTCAATCCTAAAGGAGATGAGTCCTGGGTGTTCATTGGAAGGACTGATGCTGAAGCTGAAACTCCAATACTTTGGCCACCTCATGTGAAGAGTTGACTCATTGGAAAGACCCTGATGCTGGGAGGGATTGGGGGCAGGAAGAGAAGGGGGCGACAGAGGATGAGATGGCTGGATGGCATCACCGACTCGATGAACATGAGTTTGAGTAAACTCCGGGATTTGGTGATGGATAGGGAGGCCTGGTGTGCTGCGATTCATGGGGTCGCCAAAAGTTGGACACGACTGAATGACTGAACTGAACTGAGGAATTGCTTGGGCTTCCTTGGTAGCTCAGCTGGTAAAGAATCTGCCAGCAGTGCAGGAGACCCAGCTCGATTCCTGAGTCAGGAAGATCCACTGGAGAAGGAATAGGCTACCCACTCCAGTATTCTTGGGCTTCCCTGGTGGCTCAGCTGGTAAAGAATCTGGTAACGAATCTGCCTGTAGTGTGGGAGATGTGTGTTCGATCCCTGGGTTGGGAAGATCCCCTGGAGAAGGGAACAGCTACCCACTCCAGTATTCTGACCTGGAGATTTCCAGTGACAGCCTGTCCTGATCTGTCTAGGCTTCTATAACAGAATACCATAGCTTATAAACAATAGACATTTATTTATCACAGTTCTGGAAGCCATACATCCAAGATCAGAGCACCAGCTGATTTGGTGTCTGGTGACAGCCCTCTTGCTGGTTCAGAGATGCCATTTTTCGTTGTAACTTACATGGTTACAAGAGGTAAGATATCTCTCTGGGGGGTCCTTTATAAGGGCACTAATCCCATTCATGAGGGTTCTGTACAGAAACATTCAGTCTGTATCAGGGATCTGGATACCATTTCCAGTCTGCATTGTTCATAGTAGAGGAGAATGGGATGGAAGCATGACCTCCAGCTATTTTTCCAAGCGGGTTCAGAGAAGGTCAACCAAAATGAATGACTTTTTCTCTTCTTCACACAGGTTTCCTCCCAGAGTGCCCAAACCTTTTCCATTCAACACCTCAGTCATGTACAGAAAGACTGTGTTTGTAGAGTTCACAGATCAGCTTTTCAACATCGCCAAGCCCAGATCACCATGGATGGGTAATGTAAACAAGATTGATTCTTTCTTATGAAACTGGGCGTCTTGTTTCTTTGCAAGGATTCCCCAGCCTTGGACTACAGTTTTTTAAGAGGGCAGCTGCCAAAGAAAATATTTTCTTGGTCAGTCTTCCCTTATTACCACCTCTTGGGGAAATACACTGACCAAATGGTCTCACTCTTCTTGCCTGGCTCTCCTCCTGTGTTTATTCTCTAGATATTCAAGTGCCCTTTATCTTGGACTCGGGTTCATTTTCTTTTTTCTCCCTGCTTTCAATTCCTGGTTGTTCTTATCCATGCTCATGGCTTTAAAAGATCATATATGCCAGTAACCCCCGAGTTTATATTTTCAGTTCAGACTGCTTGTTTGATACCTCCACCTAGATGTCAATTAAGCATGTGAAAGTGAAAGTCACTCAGTTGTGTCTGACTCTTGGCGACCCCATGGACTATACAGTCCATGGGATTCTCCAGGCCAGAATACTGGAGTGGGTAGCCTTTCCCTTCTCCAGGGGAATCGTCCCAAACCAGGGATTGAACCCAGGTCTCCCACATTGTAGGCAGATTCTTTACCAGCTCGGCCACCAGGGAAGCCCAAATAAGTATGTAACAAGGTGTTAAGATTTCCTGTCTTAGAATTATTGCTGAGAATTATAGCTGACAAGTAGTCCCAAATTCTAAAGAAAGATAACAGCCCACCTATTCAAGACTTGTTCAGATAGTGCTCCAAATTGGTTCAGCAACTTCAGATAGTGCTCCAAATTGGTTCAGCAACCTTTAGCCCATCATGTACCTTCAACTTTTATAAAAGATGGCTAGGAACTTATGAAAAACTTTAGATTTGAGTATTTCCTGTAAAAACATTTTTGGTATTTTGTATATATCCCTACAGAGAGGAAGGATCTCCCCTCCCCGCCATGTCAAGCTACAGCGAGGGAGGCTTCAGGAGAACTGTTTAGAAAACTTGAGATAGAATTTTTGGCACTTGGAAGATACTGACTCATGCCTGATTTTTATGGAAAAAACTTTCAAGGCCAGAGTCTTGCGGAGTTTCCCCTGATGGTGTCAGAAGGAGAGTGGGATACGGCGGAAGCTAACTGCACCGCCACTGTTAGGTGTGAGACCAGGAAGATTATTGGACAAAACTTGTCTCAAGAAGATCCTGTCTGAGAGGACTTTTTGCCAGGGCTAGGTGATCCCAGAAGAGAATATCTGTGTGATTGGACTCTCAGAAGCACAAAGTGAGAGGAGAGATAAAGTGAAAACTAGACAGGGCATATCACAGGCCAGGGGGAAATGGAATAGGCTGTCACCATACTGAGATGGGAGAGAGTTCTCAAAGAACTCATGTAAGTTCTCTGAGAAAGAAAGACACAGAATTTTGGCCTGTGTCACACGCAGGGGTACCAAAGCCACATTACCACTGAACGACCAAGAAAGATCTTATAATTATGCCTTTTTTCCACTCGTGTCCTAAGCTCCAACCTTAGAAAGTCCAGAGGCAGTAAGGTGATTGGAGAGGAGGAAGGTGAGAAAGCAGTGAACCTGCCAACCAAACATCTTTTTTTCCCCCATTACTGATTTCTGAGTCTATTTCAGAATTGAACTTGAGGAGGAGGGAATCCCTGAATTGCAGGGGACATCAAAAGTTTGCTATGAGGCCAGACTGGACGTCTTAGTACCTATGATAATATTGTTAATATGTGAAGGTTACTTGGGGAAAAAAATTGGGATTGCTCAAAATGCAAGAAAGGCAAATTCTACATGCAATTAAAAACTATGAAAAAGAAACCTGTTTCATATTTTCATCCCACTAATTCCAGTCCATTCAGTAAAGTCATTTGTAGGTCTTGTGCTGTGGTTCATGGGGTCGCAAAGAGTTGGACACGACTGAGCGACTGAACTGAACTGAACTATACCTTGTATAAGACTTTCCTGGTGGCTCAGGCCGAAAAGCATCTGCCTACAGTGCGGGAGACCTGGGTTCAATCTGTGGGTTGGGAAGATCTCCTGGAGAAGGCAATGGCAACCCACTCCAAGATTCTTGCCTGGAAAATCCCATAGACGTATCAGCCTGTGGGCTATAGTCCATGGGATCGCAAAGAGTCGGACATGACTGAGTGACTTCACTTTCACTTTCACTTATACCTAGTATGACTGTCTGTAAGTCATCAATTTCCTCCAAATTTTCTGTGCCATGGCCTGATGACCACTCAGTTGCACAAATCAAAATCACAGGAGTCATGCCTGATTCCCATGTCTCTCATGCTTCCCTCCCGCCCCATCTTCAACATGCAACTCATGAGCAAGTCTTGTTGACTTGCTGACCTAAAATAGACTACCAGATGTCTCTCTGGAAAAGAAGGGTTTCTTGAGGATCAGCAGAGGATGGCAATTTAGTGTCTGCAACCATGGCAAGTTGCAAACAAGTCCCCGAATAACAAGGGGAGAAGAGCACAGTTTGCAGAGGGGAAAAGGAATTTGGAAGGGCTCGGGAAAACAGAGTCCACCGCCGCTCATTGATTGAGTCCTTGCCAACAAAGATGACGAATTTTTCCCCCTTGGGCTCTGCTATTGTTACAGGGCATGAGAGTTCCCCTTCTGGTTTCCAACTCTATTTAACTGATGTTTCTGTTTATGAATATTTTTATTAATATTATAAATATTCATTCAAAATATTACTATTTTGGATGTCTTCCTCCAAAACAAGTCTCCAATCCATTTCTTATTCTAAATTCCTGTAACCTCCAAAGTCTTACATGTTATGTTCCCTGCCTGCCTCTATAACCTTCTTTTCTACTATCTTCTATCTCATTCACTGTGCTTCAACCACAGGTTATTTTGCTATCTTTAAAGTATCCTCTGCTTCCTGCCTCATCATTTTCTAGTATGCCACCATCATTTACAGCATTTATAACAACCTAAAGTTTTCTTATTTATTTACATACTTAATGGCTTCCTTAATGGCTCAGTTGCAATGCAGGAGACCCCAGTTCAATTCCTGGGTCAGGAAGATCCCACAGAGGAGGGCTAGGCTACCCACTCCAGTGTTCTTGGGCTTCCCTTGTGGACCAGCTGGGAAAGAATCTGCCTGCAGTGTGGGAGACCTGGGTTTGATCCCTGGGTCAGGAAGATCCCCTGGAGAAGGGAAAGGTTACCCACTCCAGTATTCTGGCCTGGAGAATTCCATGGATACAGTCCATGGGGTCACGAAGAGTCAGACATGACTGAGTGACTTTCACTTTTACTGATGTCTCTATAATTAGTTATTTTTTTTTTTGTAAAATGTCTCTATAATTTGATCTCTATGGCATATCTTCTTAATTACTTCATGCCTAGTGCCTAGGGTGGTTTATAGAATGTAGTAGGAAACCAATTATTATTTGAATGAATCAATGCATTGAATGCATTGCCAGAAATTTGTCCTCAGAACAACCATAAGGCTAGGCTGGTTATAGAAGTTAATGCATTCACTTGGCTACTACTTTTTATCAATAATCTGAAGGATTTGCTTCTCTCCTGTGACTGCCAGGGTCCAGCCCCAGCAGGATCCAGGGGAACCCTCAGGATGAATGGCGTCGGCAAGTGAGAGAGAGAGAGAGAGAGAGAGAGAGAGAGAGAGAGATCAGACCAGGGTGTGCAGCAGAGTCTGGCTGTGTTTTATTTTTCACAGTAGCTTTTATACCCTAAGTTAGTACATTTCTAAGGGGAGGTGAAAGAGAAGCATACAAAGTTTAGTTTAACATTACATCAGTTTTGTCCTTCATGAAACCAGGATGTTTTCTGCATACTTCTTTGTTCATGAGAGTCTTCTTTCATAGTGGATCTTTGTACATTATCTTCTGGCCTTGGGGCCTATTAACATTTTATGATCTAGGTGAAGGCAAAACTGTTTTCCATAGTCTATTCTTTGCTGTTCTATTTTGCCTTGAGTTTAGCAGAAAATAGAAAAGTTCCCATCTCATGGTACAGCAGGTTGCAACATAGTAGAAATACAATCCTGTTAACACAAATGTCAGCCTTTTTGCAAAAGTTCTCAGCTAAATTTATCTAAAAAGTTTACCACACAAAGACTCTGTGGCTCTCATGAGGCAGCCTCTGTTTTAGCACTCTTGATTAAAATTAACAATTACCTTATTGTTTCCACACTAGAGCTAAACTCTTATTTTTCTAAATTCTTAACTATATTAACAATAGTTTTTACTGCACAACCTCAGCACAACAACAGCAATCAAACGTTGATCCAATAACCACTTTTAGAATAATATTTTTTGTGTTCTCTAATAGGGCTTTCTCACCACACACCCCCCCCACCCCGAAGGGCTCTGTGCCTATCAGGGCCTTTTGTGATCAGATTCTTTATGCTGTTTATGATTAAGGTGTTGTGAGCAGTCATGTGCATTAGTATGTATTAGCCAAACAAGCCAGAGTGCCAGCAAAAGGGTTTTTACTTGAAACATTTCCTTCATTCCTGGCCCCTTCATAGGGAACCGGCGTCCAGGAGATTCATTAATTAGGGTTCTATGTTGGTCTTTATTTAGTGAAAGAGGAGCAGGAGAGCTCTCGGCAGGCAACGCAAAGATCCGCAACAGGACAAACAAGGACAACAGCGAGAAGGGGAGGATACAGGGTTGGGTAGAGGCCGGGGTCAACCTGGAGGGTCCCTTGTAGCCTGAACAGCCTTACGTTTTAGGTCTTCTCATGACCTTCTCATGGGTGGGATCTCCCATAATGGCTCCTGGCATGTGACTTTGACCATCATTTTTGTGATAACAGATTTTCTGGAGTGCTACCTTCCAAATGGGGCTTCCCTGATGGCTCAATGGTAAAGAATCAGCCTGACAATGTAGCAGATGCGGGTTCCATCCCTGGTTCGGGAAGATACCCTGGAGAAGGAAATGGCAACCCATTCCAGTATTCTTGTCTGGGAATCCCATGGCAGAGGAGCCTGGTGGGCTACAGTCCATGGGGTCACACAAGAGTTGGACACGTGACTTACCAGCTAAACAACCTTCCAAATGACATTTGGGGCAATATGTCATTCTTGCAGGTCTGCTGGGTCCAACTATCCAGGCTGAGGTTTATGACACTGTGGTCATTACACTTAAGAATATGGCTTCTCATCCTGTTAGTCTTCATGCTATCGGCGTATCCTACTGGAAATCTTCTGAAGGTGAGTCAAATGCCCTCCTATGGTTCAGTCATACTATGGACAGAAGAGTAGTGAGTATAAGGTCATACAGCTAATGAATGCTGGAGTCAGGATTCAAACTTAGGCCCATTGCATGAAGTCAAGAACATTGTTATTTTGGTCTTATCCCAAAGCTTGTCTCTGTCCCCTGTTCTCCCATGGGGAACCAGGCCACAGATCCTAATATCTCATTTTATCTGCTTTCTTATGCTGAGAAAACTTCCTAGGGAAGATCAAAGCCATTGGTGTAGCAATGAAACCAAATTCTCCTTCTCCTTCCTTAGATTCAGACTTTTCAGATATTTCCTTTCCCTCTCCTTCTCCCAGTTGCTAAAATATGGATGTCACCATGTGATTAGGGCCAAATAGCTGAAGCACAAGCAGACCTCATTACAAAGAGAAAAAACCTGTTTGCCCACAATCCCCACAGTGCGAGAAGGAATGAAAGGGAATGTCACAGTGTATCCTGATATTGTCCAGATGGACTATGACATATACAGATCACTAAGATTCAAGCAAATCATCAGTACATGATTGGAGCACATGTCCTGTACTGTATGGTCTGACTATGCTTCGATGTTGACTAAGTTCTCATGCAAAAATGTACTACCTTTCTGGGTTGCACTCCTGAGATCAGGGCAGACGTGGACTGAGGGAAGATGAAAGACAGGAGCGGGCAGGGATATATAGGAGAAGGCATCCCAGGTTCTGCCCGGTGCCTGGCAAGCTATTTCCGTGAGGTTTATCCACTTGAAAGCTTCCAGAATCCCACTTCTGGGCATACACACCGAGGAAACCAGATCTGAAAGAGACACGTGCACCCCAATGTTCATTGCAGCACTGTTTATAATAGCCAGGACATGGAAGCAACGTAGATGCCCATCAGCAGATGAATGGATGAGGAAGTTGTGATACATATACACCATGAAATATTACTCAGCCATTAAAAAGAATTCATTTGAATCAGTTCTAATGAGATGGATGAAACTGGAGCCCATTATACAGAGCGAAGTAAGCCAGAAAGATAAAGACCATTACAGTATACTAACACAAATATATGGAATTTAGAAAGATGGGAACGAGAACCCTATATGCAAAACAGAAAAAGAGACTCAGATGTATAGAACAGACTTGTGGACTCTGTGGGAGAAGGCGAGGGTGGGATGTTTCAAGAGAACAGCATCGAAACATGTATATTATCTAGGGTGAAACAGATCACCAGCCCAGGTTGGATGCATGAGACAAGTGCTCGGGCCTGGTGCACTGGGAACACCCAGAGGGATGGGGTGGAGAGGGAGGTGGGAGGGGGGACAGGGATGGGGAATACATGTAAATCCATGGCTAATTCATTTCAATGTATGACAAAAACCACTGCAATGTTGTAAAGTAATTAGCCTCCAACTAATAAAAATGAATGGAAAAAAAAAAAAGACAATGACAAAAAAAAAAAAAAAAGAAAGAAAGCTTCCAGAACGAATCTAGGGGCATTTTAGAGAGACCAGGGTTCCCCCAATTCTGCACCTAGGAGTTCAGCATAGAGATGACTGTTCTGTACCCTAAGCCTTGTGAGTTCTGGGAAACTAGTCTATCTAATCTGTCATACATACAGCAGTCCAGGAACAACACAGTGAGTCACTGGCCTAATGCGCATGTGATTTATAGTCCTAGCACAAGCTTGTGTGTTTATATGTTATCATCCACAAGTTCTTGGCCTCCTTAGATTAGCCTAGGGGCCCCAGCATGTAAGGTACATCTATGATGATGATTAGTATAACTTTGCATGCTTATTGACCTTTTTGATATCCTTTAATAAACTATCTGATCAACTGTTTAAGTGTTTTTCCTGTTACAAAGACAGTGATTTATCTTTTTCTGATTGATTTATAGAGTTAGTTTATATATTCTGAATACAAATCCTCTGACAGATTGAAATATTTACATATCTTCTTCCAGTCTGTAGCTTTAATTTTCACTCTCTTGATAATTTTTTTGGTAAAGTTCTTAAAGTTAATGAAGCATTAAAGTTCAAACATTCATGAAGCACAAAAAAGGTATCACATGTTTTCTTTGTATGTTAGACTTTGGGTCCTATTTAAGACATTTGCCTACTCTCAAGTCATGAAGGATTTTGTCCATGCTTTCCTCTAGAAGTTCTATTATTTTGCCTTTCATGCTGAAGTCTATAACCCATCACAAATGAATTTTTGGTTATGATTTCCTGATAGCATTTTAAAACAGTTTTCTTGAGGTTCAAATTACATACCACGAAATTCAGTCATTTAAACTAGTTTGATGACTTTGACTCAATTCAGACAGTCATGGGGCCACCAACACCATCCATGTCAAGAAGTTCTGGCCTTGCTGTTCAAGCCCCATTCCCACCCCCAGCCCCAGGCAACCACTGAGTTGCTTTGTCAGCCTGTCATGTTAATCTCCCAAACCAAAACTGGGAAATTGTATTTCAGTTCAGCAAACGGCCATCCCCTCCTGCACAGCAGGAGGAGTACATTTCCCTACCATATTGGTATTGGACATGACCACGTGACTTCTGGCTAATAGAATCTAAAAGCATCAGATATATGTCAAGACAGCTAGTTCCCATGGAATATCTGTCAAAGGAGCCAGAAGGAGAGTTAAAAGCAGATCCAGAGAAATGTCAAGTTTGGTCTTGAGCTGAAAAGGGAAACCTGGTGCTAAAGAAATTCTTTAAATTTCTGTTCTGGACAAGAGGGTTATAACATCACCCTAGGCTATAAGTAGGGCCACACAATGAGGCTGTGAAAAGACAGCATGGGGGCAGACAAGTTAACAGGTGCTGACCCAAAGCTGCTGAGCAGAAATCAGGTGAAGGAAAAAGCAACCGAAGGCACCAGAGAGTGCAGTGCAGTAGCCTCTAAAGCACAGCATTTGGCCTGTGGTTGAGTGCTCATGCCCAGGGGTCACTGAGCTGGGGTGTCTGAGCAGGTCAGGCTCTGGGGCCCTTGGCCACGCCTGGGGCAAGGCTGATACTGCTGCAGGGGGGGTGAATAGACGGCTTTCCAGAACATTCTCGAATGTTCCCAACACTGTTGTTCAGAATGTAACAGAAGATGGTGGTTGCACAAAACTCATTCTGCTTAGAGTATTTGCAGGTGGCTGGTATAGAAGCTCAAGTAAGACTCTTAAGACCGAGGTTTCTCAAAGGAAACATACCTGAGTAGACATAGCAACTTTCAAGGCTATGCACAATGCTTTTGCCCATGCACTGCTTACTTCGCTTGTTCTGGACAAATCACCTTTGTCTTCACCAAAGGACAGACCTTGTTGTGAGCAACCTGTGTCGAACCCAAGATCTCAGGTTCCAGCTGTCAATATTCTCCTATTTTGCCAGCCGTCACTCTTTCCCTCCCCACTCCAAGAATTCTTCATTCTCCTTGGGATCCGCAGGTTCCTGGCCTCCTTGATTTCTATTCTACTCTCCTGGCTAAACCACTACCGTGGTGAAATCTGTTCTCCATCTCTTCTACTAGCAACCAAGCAAATGGCTATGGTTGAAATAAACCTTGCACCTCGCCTTAAGTGGTGCCTTACCACTGCCCAGATATCCTCCCAATCCACTCACCGTCCTCATCAAGACAGATGCAGTTTTCACACACTCCTGACCTCTCATTAACCCCTCATCCCTCTCCCAACCTTACTATTAGGTAAAAGGGGATTCTTTTCCTAATAAAATGTTTCAAACAAACAAACACAAAAAGGTATAAGAAATAATAGAGCCAACATACATGTACCCATTAGCTCACTTTGACAGTGACAGTCGCTTAGTTGTCTCTGAGTCTTTGCAGCCCCATGGACTATACAGTCCATGGGATTCTCCAGGCCAGAATACTGGAATGGGTAACCTTTCCCTTCTCTAGGGGAATCTTCCCAACCCAGGGATCAAACCCAGGTCTCCCACATTGCAGGCAGATCCTTTACCAGCTGAGCCACCAGGGAAGCCCAAGAATACTGGAGTGGGCAGCCTACCCCTTCTCCAGAGGGTCTTCCTGACTCAGGAATCAAACCAGGGTCTCCTGCATTGCAGGAGGATTCTTTACCCACTGAGCTCTGAGGGAAGCCCTAGCTCACTTTGGCAAATCTTTTTTGAAAACTTTTTCTTTTGTATGGCAGTATAACCGATTAAGAAACAATGTTGCAATAGTTTCAGGTGGACAGGGAAGGAACTCAGCCATACAGATACATATATCCATTCTCCTCCAAACTGCCCTCCCTTCCAGATTTTGCAAATCTTAACATTTTGCTGTCTTTGCCTACTTTAAGAAATTAAACAGAAGACACAGTTGAAGCCCCTTCTTTACCCCTCCATGAACCCCTCTCTTCCTATCCAAATGTTTTCACTATTCAGAATTTGCTACCAACCCACAATCACACAGAGACATGACCACACTTTCCATCCCAAAGTGCAACTCATGTTTTTCTGAATGTCCACCAGGGTCTGCTAAGCACCTATATTGGTCTGCTGTTGCTTCTGGATGAAGCCGATTGTCCCTAATTCCCAGTGGAGGGATACCCATTTATCAGAGAGGCTGCTTTTGTAGTGAGTCAATGCAGGGGTCTCTTGTACTGCTCTGTTAGAAAGGTCCCTCTATTAGATGTATAGCTATTGCGGGGTAAGATGGAGTATAAATGAAGAACACCCTGAATGCCTTGAATGTTCTGGAGTCCTAGAGACCATTATGAATTCAAGAAACCAAGGTGAGTTGTTAGAAAAATAGTTCAATAACAGTGTAAGTGTTATAGTCAGTGCCTTTGAATATTTTCTATTTCTGTCCGCTGAAATGACCTAGAAGCAATAACACTTCTTTAAGAGTGAACACATATAGTGCTCACTGTAGAATAAAGGTATCAGATAATTCAGAGGTCAATTTTAACATCACTAAGGATGGGAGAGCAAGAAAATATCTGTTTAAAAAAATCTCTGCATCTCACCCTTCCCTGACCCTCACCAGTGCTTACTAAAGAGTCTGAGACAAAGTACATACCCAATGTATGTCTACTGAATTGAATTGACTTGAATTAGGTAAAAAGATGGAATAATGGAAGCAGTATTTTTGTTGCAATCTGAAGTTCTCACAGAACCACTCAACCACTGATATTTGCCCTAATGGTCAAGAACTCCTCTGAAATATATAAGGTGGCTTCTCCCCATTTATAGCTGCTGCTGGTTAGTATTCCAAATTGTTTCAGAAAAGTTGTTCCTTGCATAGAGTCTACTGGTGACAATAAACTTGATGCCTCCTTGAGTGGGCAATGGGCGTAGAAAGGACAACTTTATCCCACCTTGATTTAGGTGCTGCATATAAGGATGAAACCAGCCAAAGGGAGAAGGAAGATGACAAAGTCATTCCTGGTAAAAGTCATACCTACGTCTGGCAGGTCTTGAAAGAAAATGGTCCAACAGCCTCTGACCCACCATGTCTCACCTACTCATATCTTTCTCATGTGGACCTGGTGAAAGACGTGAACTCAGGTCTCATCGGAGCCCTGCTAATTTGTAGAGAAGGTATGTATAAGAAAAAGTAGGAAGTACAAACATCTGTGTCGATTCATAAAAAATGGTGTTTGCACTCTTTCATGTGAAAAAGGTTTCTTTTGCTTCAAATCATGGCCATGGAAAGGAGAATAGTCTCTGAGATGAATAGAACCGCATGGTAGGATCTATGCATCCCATATAGCCACAATGTACTCTAATGGACAACAAAAGCCAAATTCTGGAATTAGGTATTGCTTCTCTTCCCCGGTGGCTCAGACAGTCAAGAGTCAGCCTGCAACCGAAAAAAAAAAAGAGTCAGCCTGCAATGCTGGAGATCAGGATTCAATCCCTGGGTAGGGAAGATCCCCTGGAGAAGGAAATGGCAACCCACTCCAGTATTCTTGCCTGGAGAATTCCATGGACAGAGGAGCCTGGCGGGCTACAGTCCGTGGGGTCGCAAAGAGTCAGACACAACTGAGTGACTTCACTTTCACTTTCTCTTCTTCTGCTTTATGCTTCACATAGCCTATGGGCTGTCTCAGTAGTCCTTTATACAAATTTTGTGTTAGGTTCCTTGAAACCTCCATGAAGGTAAATAGTATATCTAAGTGTGTGACTAATGGTGTATAGACCATTTCAGGAGGTTAGTTTGTCATCTGTAACCCCAAAACATAAAAATCTGAGAAAAGCAAGAATTTATACATGTTTATAAGTTCTTATGTTAAAAATCATAGTCATTTAAATTAAACCTTTTATAAAAAAATTTTTATTGGGAATTCTCTAGCCATCTAGTGAACTTTGTGCTCTTACTGCCAAGGGCCTGGGTTCAATCCCTGGATGGGGAAGTAAGATCCTACAAGCTGCACAATGTGGACAATAAAAAAAAAAAAAGTTAAAAAAAAACATTTTATTGAAATGTTTGTGAAAAAACATTAAAATTTATTGAAATATAATTTTAAAAATTATTGAAATATAATTAACCAACAACACTATTATAGTTACAAGTGCACAGAGTGAGGGAAGTCGCTCAGTCATGTCCGACTCTTTGCAACCCCATGGACTGTAGCCTACCAGGCTCCTCTGTCCATGGGATTTTTCAGGCACGAGTACTGGAGTGGGGTGCCATTTACTTCTCTAGTGCACAACCTAGTGCCAAATGAATGAACAAATGAAAAGACACTCAACATCTCTAATTATTAGGGAAATGCAAATCAAAACTTTGAGATATTACCTCACACCCATCAGAATGGCTATTATCAAAAAAGCCATAAATAACAAGTATTGGTGAGGATGTGGAGAAATAGAGAATCCTCCTGCACTGTTCTGTGTGTGCTAAGTCACTTCAGGCGTGTCCAACTCTTTGTGACCCCATGGGCTGTAGCCCGCCAGGCTCCTCTGTCCATGGAATTCTCCAGTTGAGAATACTAGAATGGATTGCCATTTCCTTCTCCAGGGGATCATCCCAACCCAGGGATCGAACCCAGGTCTCCTGCATTGGCAGGCGGATTCTTTACCATCTGAGCCACCAGAGAAGCCCTTGGGGAATATTACTCAGCAATAAAAAAGAATGAACTCTTCTTGCCATTTGTGACTACATGGATGGACCAAAGGGCATTATCTTAAGTGAGATAAATCAGACAGAGAAAGACAAATACTGTATCATTTCATTTATATATCGAATCTAAAAAACAAGAGAAATGAACAGAAATAATAACACGAAACAAAGCTGTAGAAAAAGAGAACAAACAGGTGGTTGCCAGAGGGAAGCAGGGTCGAGGGATGAGTGAAATAGTTGAGGGAGATTGAAAGGTACAGACCTCCAGTTACAAAACAAATGAGTCACAGGGATGAAATGTACAGCATGGGGAATAGAATCTGTAAGAATCTGTGTGGTGATAAATGGCAATTAGACTTACCATGATAATCTTGGAATGTAAAGAAATACAGAATCACTACGTTGTGCACTTGGATTGTATATGTAATGACATGTGTCCATTATAGTAGTATCATACGGTATCGTATGTCACATAGTGTCATATATCATATAGTATCATATAGCATGATATATATGTCATTGTATCATATCACCACCCTAAAAATCATGTGTTCTTCCCTGCCTATTCATCCTTCCCTCTTCTACCCTCTGGCAAGCACTGTCCTTTGAATTGTCTTCATAGTTTTGGCTTTTCCAGAATGTCAAATAGTATGTAGCCTTTTCATACTGGCTTCTTCCACTTAGTACTGTATATTTAAGCTTCCTCCATGTTTTTGATGGCTTGATAGCCTATTTCTTTTTAGAGCTGAATAATAGTTTGTTGTCTAGGTGGACCGCAGTTTATTTATCCATTCACCTACTGAAAGACATCAATTTCACTGCTTGATAAATCTAAAAATATCATAAAAAGATTTAAAGTCTTTTCAGACAGCTTTATCTGTATTTTAAAATTGTATGGGTGAGTTACTGTTTCCATCCAATTTAACTTTTACTTTCTAAGCATCAAGAGTAAAAGAGAGAGAAAAGAACATTATAAACAAAACTCTTCCTACTCAAAATAAACCTGCACTTCCTAATCAAATGAAAAATTATTCTGTTAAGAAAGACAACTAACAAATTCAACAGTTAAACCATGAAGCAAGGTCATTTGTAACATTAATAACTTTAAATATTGACATACATGGTGTTCATTTTAAGTATGAGTATAGGTATTTAACATGGATAATTGTTACTTTGTTCATAACTTTTAATTTACAATTGCAGAAGTAAAAAAAAAAGTTAAAAGCATAATAGAAATTTTCTAGCAGTTCAGTTCAGTCACTCAGTTGTGTCCGACTCTTTGTGACCCCATGGACTGCAGCACGCCAGGCCTCCCTGTCCATCATCAACTCCCGGAGCTTGCTCAAACTCATGTCCATCGAGTCAGTGGTGCCATCCAAGCATCTCATCCTCTGTTGTCCCCTTCTCCTGCTTTCAGTCTTTCCCAGCATCAGAGTCTTTTTCAATGAGTCAGTTTTTTGCATCAGGTGGCCAAAGTATTGGAGTTTCAGCATCAGTCCTTCCAATGAATATTCAGGACTGATTTCGTTCAGGATTGACTGGTTTGATATCCTTGCAGTCCAAGGGACTCTCAAGAGTTTTCTCCAACACCACAGTTCAAAAGCATCAATTCTTTGGCACTCCGTTTTCTTTCTAGTCCAACTCTCACATCCCTACACGAGTACTAGAAAAACCATAGCTTTGACTAGATGGACCTTTGTTGGCATTTTTTCTGTATTTTAATAGAAAATATTTTAATTTATGAATTATTTGCATATATGCACATTTCCATGAGCAATGTTTATGATTTTTGCAGTTTTTCTTTTTCTTTTGTATGTTTGTTTTGAATATATACATGTACATGAAATATGATTATGTGGACTTGTCATTTGATTATTTTTAATTTCTTTTTTTAGTAATTAATTTTTATCATCTTTTATAAAAGTAATGATTTGCAACAAATTTGAAACTTTTTATCATGTCCTTTGCACCAAATAATTTTAGGAGCACTGGTATAGATGTGACACCAAGGAAATAATGTTATGGTTAAGTTAATAAGGGGACGACAGGTGACAAGATAGTTGGATGGCATCACTGACTCAATGGACATAAATTTGAGTAAACTCCAGGAGTTGGTGATGGACAGGGAGGCCTAGCATGCTGCAGTCCATGGGGTCGCAAAGAGTCTGACACAACTGAGCGACTGAACTGAACTGAAGTTAATAAGAGATCAAGAGACAAAGCAGTTGATGAAGTCATGTATCCTCCTAGGGTCATTTTTCTGCGATAGGATTTTGTATAGAAGATAAATACTCTCACTTCTTTTTCAGGGACTCTGATCAAAGAAAGGACACAGACCTTGCACGAATTTGTACTACTGTTTGCTGTATTTGATGAAGGTTAGTGACCTGTAATCTGAATTTTGGTCTACTGAAAGAAATGAAATAGATTAATGTAACGTGGTACTTGAGCTTGAGGGCTGTGAATGGAATAATGTAGATGGGGATGAAAATGAAAGCCAAGAACAAAATGCCCACGGACTTCCACGGGCAGCTATGAAGTAAGAAAGAGGAGCTGGGTAACAGATAGCCTTGTCTCTCATTAAATCCGTCAACAAAGACTTTTCACTTTCCTTTTTTGCTCGCTTAGAAGCAAAGGAAAGCCTAATGATTTGATCAAGACGGTAGAGGTACAAGCTTGGGTTTTAGAGCACACGCTCTTCCCACAGTCCCAGGGCAAGGCTGCTTTATGCGGAAGCGGGTGGGCGGAAGTGGGTGGAGCTCTGCACGCAGTAGCAGTTGCTGATCCAGTGGATGAGCCGCGTCTCTGCCCCAGGCGCACAGTGTCTTCTTACCGTTAGTGACCTGCGCACCTTCTCCTCCCAGCTGAGTTGAGGTGCAGCAGTTTTGCACGACGAACTCTGGTCTGAAGGATGGGGGAAGGGCAAGGCCTCTGCCCCACACGTCTCCTTTATGTAATTTTTTGTTTGTTTGCTTGTTAGTTTTAGTTAAACTTTGTGTGTGCTAAGTCGCTTCAGTCGTGTCCACCTCTTGGCGACCCCATGGGCTCTAGCCAGCCAGGCTCCTCTGTACTGGCATGGGTTGCCATTTTCTCCTCCAGGGGATCTTCCCCAACCCCGGGATCGAATCCGTCTCCTGCTTTGGCAGGCAGGTTCTTTCCTGCAGAGCCACCAGGGAAGCCCTCGGTGAAACTTGCGGTGCATTTATTTACTTTCCCACTTATCGCCAATCATGGACATGAGTGGCTGAGGCTTCTGTCTCTACTCAGGAAAACAGCACAATTGAGTGGCTATCACATCTTATGGAGAATTTCAGTCTTTGGTCACAGCATTTAAGAGCTCCTGGTTTTGGTCCTACAAGCCCTTTTGGAAGTGACCTATTGCTTTATTTTCTCAATGCCCCCTCTTTAAAAGAAATTTTCAATGCAAATCATATATATTTAAGGTGTATGAAATTATTTTAGATAAGTATAGATAGAGAAATGATTACTACAGTCAAGTTAACCTGTCTGCCCACATAGTTATCATTGTTGTGTGAAATCTATTCCCTGAGCTTATTTCTGGTGTTCAATGTAGTTTGCTCATCGTGCTGTACATTAGATCCCCAGAACTTGTTTGTCTTAAAAGTGAAAGGTTGTCCCATTGGACCAACATCTCCCCATTTCCCGAGACCCTTGCAGTCACCCTTCTCTTCTGTGTTTCTGTGAGTATGCTTTTTCTTATCTTCATCTCTTACTTTTTAAGTAACTTTAGCAAGTTACTCAACCCCTCTGTGTCTCACTTTCCTCTATTTTAAAGTTGAAATAATACCTACTTTTTCATAGGATGGTTGTGAGGATTGAGTGATTTCAATTCAGTAACACAGGACCTTGCTTCCCTGATAGCTCAGTTGGTAAAGAATCCGCCTGCAACGTGGGTGACCCCGCTTCAATTCCTGGGTCTGGAAGATCCCCTGGAGAAGGAATAGGCTACCCACTCCAGTATTCCTGGGCTTCCCTTGTGGCTCAGCTGGTAAAGAATCTGCCTGCAGTGCGGGAGATCTGGATTCAATTCCTGGGTCGGGAAGATCCCCTGGAGAAGGGAAAGGCTACCCACTCCAGTATTTTAGCCTGGAGAATTCCATGGACGAGTCCATGCGGTCACAAAGAGTTGGACACGACTGAGTGACACTTTTCTGAGGACACAGTCTTACTTCAGTTTCACTTTTCAGGACAGAAGGTGGTGTTAGTACTTCTGCTTTCTCCTCCTCCTGATAGAATCGTTCTATCATCACCTTCTCTCTCCTCTGGATCCTCCTACACTGCCATCTTCTGAACTAAGACCCCTATCACCTCTCCTCTGACTAGTCTCCTTGTCTTTTTGTGCCCCCAACACTTCGTTCTTACTGTAGCAGCCAAAGGGAGCTTACTGAAATGTGAATCTGATCTTGTCACTCCAGTCTTTAAAATCTTTCAGTTTCACAAGGCAAAATGGAAACTTCTTTACACAATAATATGTGACCTCATCCCTGACGACCTGTCTAGCTTTGTTTTGCTCCTCTTGCTGTCTCACCATTCATGTTGCAACCACAGTGAACACATTTTGTGTTACACCCACACATGCTATACTTTTTCTAGCATCCAGGCCTTCTAGCATCCAGGCCTTTGCTCATGCCATTTCCTTGGCCTGGAAAGCGTGTCTCCAGCTTCACATCAAGTAAGTTTCTACACCTTCTAGCCTCTGTTAGATGCTTCTTTATGTGTTTCCACAGCACTTGAGCTTCCTCCTTATTGCACTAAACCATACTGATCTTCTTTACAATCCTGTTCTTTTCTCTTCAAGCCGAGTAAAGTGCCTTCTCCTTCTGGTTCCATAATACCCTGTTCTTATCTCTTTTACTCCACTCTTCACTCTTTGTAATAATGGTCCACGTCTCTGTCTATTTGAGCTACATTGTAAGCACCTTGAAGGCAGAGACTGTGTCTACCTCTTTGTCAGTGCTAGCGCTCAGTGTGCTGTGCTGTGCTGTGCTCAGTCGCTCAGTCATGTCTGACTCTATGCGATCCCATGGACTGTTGCCCACTAGTCTCTGTCCATGGGATTCTCCAGGCAAGAGTACTGGAGTGGGTTGCCATTTCCTCCTCCAGGGGATCTTCCTGACTCAGGGATTGAACCCACGGCTCTTGCATATCCTGCATTGTCAAGGGGATTCTTTACCACTGAGCCACCTGGGAAGCCCTAATGCTCAGTAGTACTCAGTGAACATGTTTGACTGAATGAACACATGAGTGGATGACTAGATAAATGAACTTATGAGAGTTCACCAAAGGTTCGGTGCTTCAGAAAGTTTCAGTCTTTTGTACATAAGAGAAACTTCAGTTCAGTTCAGTCACTCAGTCGTGTCTGACTCTGTGATCCCATGGACTGCAGCATGCCAGGGCTCCCTGTCCATCACCAACTCCCGAAGTATACTCAAATTCATGTCCATTGAGTTGGTGATGTCATCCAACCATCTCATCCTCTGTCATCCCTTTCTCCTCCCACCTTCAATCTTTCCCAGCATCAGGGTCTTTTCTAATGAGTCAGTTCTTGAGGGCAGCCTCAAGTCACTGCTAATAATAATATTTCTGCTTCTTTCACTTTTATTAATTTCAGTGACAAGGTTGGGAAGGTTTCCTGTCCATGGGCTTTCATTATTACAGACTAGATGATGCAAGTAGGACAGGGACAGGTACTGGCAGCCTTTTCTTAGGAGGATTTTCATGTTCTCCCTCTCACATAAGTCAACCAGTGAATAGAAGTCACCATGGTACAAACTAACCAATATTCTCCCTTCTCCTAGTGATCATTTGTCATTATTCTTCTACCTACTGTCATGGATAAATATTGAGAGATAGCATCAATCTGAGCAATAAGTGTCTACCTTTTGGTAATTGTCTTCTCCCTTTTGCCTACTGACTTTGAAGGAAAGTCATCTCTGCTGACAAAAAAGATGTGAGCTGTATTTGCCTGATGGGAGGGAGGGTAGGGGAAACGGAGGGTCAGTCATGACACAGACACTTAGCTGGCCCTCTGTTTGTGTCCTCTCTTAACAGGGAAAAGTTGGCACTCAGGAAAAAATGAGTCCTTGACTCGTGTTATGGATTCTGCATCTGCACTGCACACCATCAATGGCTATATAAACAGGTCTCTGCCAGGTATGTACAGCCTGCTCAAGAATCCTCAGGATCTTCTACATTCACCACCAGAGTTCTCTTCTCCCGTTGTCTTCAGACACTTCTGAATTCTGGCCTCTGGGGGATCTTATGGTACTGTGACCAGTCCTTCTTGCAGTCGTCAAAAAATTAAGGACTGCCAGTGTATACAGTGTAAACAAACATGAGTTTGGGTAAACTCGGGAGTTGATGATGGACAGGGAGGCCTGGCATGCTGCGGTTCATGGGGTCGCAAAGAGTCAGACATGACTGAGTGACTTCACTTTCTTTCTTTTCTTTTCTTAGTCTATACAGAGCTTACCGATTTCTCTTTTCCTTTCTAAATGGGCATCCAAGGATGAACAGATACTTGAAGGAAAGCCTGAAACACAAAGATGATATGCAAGATAAGCAAAGTAAATTAGATAACGCATGAACCCATGGAGATGCTGAGAGAGAGGTGCCTGGAGAGGGCGTGGAAGCTCTGAGCCCTTCCCCAAGCCTTGCCCTGTATGGCACTTCCCCCTAGATGTTCCTGAGTTACATTCTTGTATAATAAACAGATCCTCTAGTAAGTTTACAAAAGTAGTAATAGGATTATATAAAAAAGAAACAATCAAAATAAGAAAGTGAAGTCGCTCAGTTGTGTCTGATTCTTTGCAACCCCATGGACTGTAGCCTACCAGACTCCTCTGTGCATGGGATTTTCCAGGCAAGACTACTGGAGTGGGTCACCATTTCCTTCTCTAACATGCTTACAAAATTAGGAATGTAATTGTTAAAACACAAACTTAATTGAAAGAAAGTTTTTGTTATTGTTCAGTCACTAAGTCATGTCAGACTCCTTCTGACCCCATGAACTGCAGCACACCAGGCTTCCCTGTCCTTCAGTGTCTCCTGGAGTTTGCTCAAACTCATGTCCATCAAGTCAGTGATGCTATCTAACCATCTCATCCTATCACCCCCTTCTTCTCCTGCCCTCAGTCTTTCCCAGTATCAGGGTCTTTTCCAGTGAGTCAGCTCTTCCCATCAGTTGGCCAAAGTATTGGAACTTTGGCTTCAGCATCAGTCCTTCCAATGAATATTCAGGGTTGATTTCCTTTAGGATTGACTTGTTTGATCTCCTTGCTGTCCAAGGGACTCTCAAGAGTCTTTTCCAGCACTGCAATTCAAAAGCATGAATTCTTCGGCACTCAGCCTTCTTTATGGTCCAACTCTCACATCCATACACATCTTCCGGAAAAACCATAGCTTTGACTAAACAGACCTTTGTTGGCAAAGTGATGTCTCTGCATCCTAATACAGTGTCTAGGTTTGTCATAGCTTTTCTTCCAAGGAGCAAGCATCTGTTAATTTCATGGCTGCAGTCACCATCTGCAGTAATTTTGGAGCCCAAGAAAATACAATCTGTCCCTATTTCCATTTTCTCCCCATCTATTTGCCATGAAGTGATGGGACTGGATGCCATGATCTTAGTTTTTGTAAAATACTCTTGACAGTGCTTGATGTTATGCAAGTGCTCAGTAAATATTGTGGCTATTAATGATATTCAACAATTCTGTAATTAATACGCAAGACTTCAGGTTTAGAAAAGAAATTAACTTTCAAAACATTTAAGTCCCTGCTCTCATATATCACGTTAATTGCCTCTCTGGGCATAAGTTTCCTCTCCTTTAAGAAAGGGATGACAGTTATAGTTTCTTCATTCATAATATAGGGTTGAAAGTGAAGTTGTTCAGTCGTGTCTGACTGTTTGCGACCCTGTGGGCTGTAGCCTACCATGCTTCTCCATCCATGGGATGTTCCAGGCAAGAGTACTGGAGTGGGTTGCCATTTCCTTCTCCAGAGGATCTTCCCGACCCAGGGATCAAACCCGGGTCTCCCGCATTGTAGGCAGACGCTTTACTGTCTGAGCTACCAGGGAAATATTGGGAGTTAAAACTTGTAAAATATCCTGAACAGTGCTTGATGTTATGCAAGTGCTCAATAAATATTACAGTTATTAATGGTATTGCCATAATTGGTGTTAGATTGGATGTGAGAAGTGAGAGTAGGGACAAGAATAACTCTCACTTGCAGAATTGAATCCAGGCTTGTATTAATACCATTCACTGAAATAAGGAACTCTGGAAGAAGATGAGGTGGTAAAGATGAAAAATCTGTTTTTGTACCTATGTGTTTCCTGAAGTATCCAGGTGAAGATGTTCAGAAGGTGATTGTGCAAGTCTGGAGTTCTGGGAGAACAGGAGAGTTATTAGCATATGAATGATCATTAACCCTGTGAGAATGAAAGATATTATTCAGGGAGAAAATTTGATTAACAAAAGAATAATTAGGCTAGGGATGAGCCCTGAGGTCATCCCCCATTTGATGGATGGGTAAAGAGGAGCGGTCACAAAGTGAAACAGAAGAAGGAGCAGTCTGAGCCTTAGGGATTCTTTTGAACTGTGGTGTTGGAGAAGACTCTTGAGAGTCCCTTTGACTGCAAGGAGATCCAACAAGTCCATCCTAAAGGAGATCAGTCCTGGGTGTTCACTGGAAGGACTGATGTTGAAGCTGAAACTCCAATACTTTGGCCACCTGATGCAAAGAGCTGACTCATTTGAAAAGACCCTGATGCTGGGAAAGATTGAGGGCAGGAGGAGAAGGGGACAACAGAGGATGAGATGGTTGGGTGGCATCACCGACTCAATGGACATGAGTTTGGGTAAACTCTGGGAGTTGGTGATGGACAGGGAGGCCTGGTGTGCTGCGGTTCATGGGGTTGCAAAGAGTGGAACACGACTGAGCGACTGAACTGACCTGAAGCCTTAGGGAAACAAAAGTCTGTTGGCACAGAGGCCAAGGGAAAACAGAATCTCAAGAAGGAATGAATGGTTAACAGATGCAGAAGAAGACTGAAAAAGATCCATTGGATTCAGAAGCACAACAGTCATTGATGACTTCAGCAAGAGCTGTTAGTTTGAGAGTACCCCCATGTCCTTGAAAAGTTGGGTTTCAAGTCAAGATAATAAAAATTTGTATGGAGAGTTTGTTCATCCTATCCTACAAAGTGTTTTCCATTTTGGATTCTCTGCTTCTTGGCTCTAGTTATGTTATTCCTACTTTCCAGGTCTGATTGGATGTCATAAGAAATCAGTCTATTGGCATGTGATTGGAATGGGCACCACCCCGGAAGTGCACTCAATTTTCCTCGAAGGCCACACATTTCTTGTGAGGAACCATCGCCAGGCTTCCTTGGAGATCTCACCAATAACTTTCCTTACTGCTCAGACAGTCCTGATGGACCGTGGCCAGTTTCTACTGTTTTGTCGTATCTCTTCCCACCAACATGGTAATGTCTGTGGATCTTAAAAATGAGTATTAGAAATATCCAGCTCTTCTTTTAAATATTTCACCTTGAATATAAGAAGGCTTGATTATTAGTAAATAGGACTTGGGAGTTTACCTGTGAGAGGGAAGGGAAATGGTTTAGTGAAGAATGAGGTGGCGAATGTAAGGAGGACAGTATATCATTGTTTTCCCAGCCTAATCGCATTAAGTAGGCTTCAGTACTATGGAGAGAGCGATTTGGGGTCATGGCATCTAGGATGTAATCCTAAGGGCTCCAGGATGTCAGTAATGATGCCCCAATATACAGCAAATATAAAAGGATATTGTGGTGCTCCATATGAGACACCAGACAACTGGTATACAAGGAGGCACGCTGTAGATACTTGGTCAGAGGTGAGAGACATCAGGAGAAACAACATGGGAGTGGAAGTTGGTAAACACATGTGAGGCACCACGTGAAGCTTTCAAGGACGACTTGACTTTGCAAAGGGTCAAAGATCCTATCTAAGGAAGTTGGGACAATGGTACCTACGGTTGCAAATTATTGTTAATGTGAGTGAGCTCATTTGTAGCTATAGGCTATGAAAACTCATGTACATGATCAGCTCATCCCCATTTTTCTTCCTGTATATTTACTCTGCTAATTCTTAATCTTGGATCAGTCTAACAACTCTATTTGTCTCCTCCTCTATTGTGGCCATTGAGAGCTGTTGGAAAGAAATGTTGGGGAGGCCTGATCTTTCATGATGAACAGCACTTGCTATTCCTGTCAATCTAGTATTAAACCTCCCTTCAGGTTCCTTGGTTGCCCTGAAAAAGATATTTGATCTTGTACTTTTTCCGTTTATGTTCTGTGAGTGACTTTGTTTCTAGTGCTCTGTAGTGATGAAACATAGGAACCTCATTTCCTGATATGTTACATAATAATTATGGGGGTTTTGACAAGACATTAGAGGAAAAAATGTGTCATACTGGACAAGTAATAGGAAGTCGATCCTATAGGCACACAGGAAAAGGTCATTTACTTGTATACAGGCTGCTCATGACCTAGTTTGAAGCCTGATTCTGTTTAGGAAGAGTTTGTTTTATGTTCTGTTTCTTTTTCTTTTTCAAAAGAATATCTTTTGACCCTTCTTTATGCTGATTTTAATCCTTGTTTTTCAGAAAAATGTTTTGTCTTTTTGGAACTCATACAAAATCCTTCATTTTTAGATCTAGACTGAATTGTTTAAGGCCACATGAACCCACACTAGGTGCTTGCTGCTCCTGAAATCTGCCTTGCTCCCCATCAGCCAGTAAATCGGTCTCCTTTCTTAATATTTTTCTTCAAAGCTGCCCTATGGCTTTAGATAGGGGAGGGATTATTATTATTTACATTTCATAAAGCATGCAAATGAGATTGAGATTGATGAATAGACTTGCTCTAAGGCTTACAACTAGCCACAGTCAGACATGCTCTTAAAATATATATTTCCTTAATTCTAAGCTGAACCTTTTCATGTTTTTATTAACTTCAGATATGTGTTAAAATTTATATCTCTACTATGATTTTTCTTGACAAGCTATTAAATCTATGGTTTGTGTCATAATTCAATTGACTATATATAAAAATTATTAGGTAACTGTAGGGGTGGGGAGTTAGTCTGACCTAGGCTTCCAAAAGCTGAAAATATGCAATTCCTTGGGCCTTCTCGTTTACAATTTGAGAGTTGGGAAGTGATAGGCTCAGAGCCAGTTCCAGAAGGGAAAGAAAAGCAAATGAGGAAATCTTGAAACAGGAGTCATAGATTGGAGGAGAGTCAGGCAGAAGGGAAATGGTGAGTGCAAAGACCACAGGAAGTACCTCGAAAGTACCAGCTATAGGGAAGGTAATACATATAGGAGGTTAGAACACTTAGGAGAAGGTCTTGAATGTGTAAGAGAAAACAGTCAGAAGAGTTAAGGCCAGAAAACGTCTTTGAACCTCACATTGGTTTTGTCTGACTTCAGATGGTATGGAAGCTTACGTCAAAGTAGATAGTTGCCCAGAGGAACCCAAACTACGGACAAAAAATAATGAAGAAGAAGATTATGATGATGGTTTGGATGACGCTGACATGGATGTGGTCAGGTTTGATGGCGACAGTGCGCCTCCCTTTATCCAAATGCGCTCAGTTGCAAAGAAGCATCCTAAAACCTGGGTCCACTACATTGCTGCTGAAGAGGATGACTGGGACTATGCCCCCTCGGTCCTCACCTCCAATGACAGGTAAAGACCTTTTGACTCTTGGTATTATCTCTTCCTCATAATCCAAAAGTTCTTCCCAGTTTCTCAAAAGAGCAAACCCTTAAGCCATGTGTAGAGTTAGGTACAGGCAAGAGTGAAGTTGCTCAGTCGTGTCCAACTCTTTGCAGCCCTGTGGACTGTAGCCTACCAGGCTCCTCTATCCATGGGATTTTTCAGGCAAGAGTACTGGAGTGGGTTGCCATTTCCTTCTCCAAGGGATCTTCCTGACCCAGAGATCAAACCGGGGTCTCCCGCATTGTAGGCAGATGCTTTACCTTCTGAGCCACAAGGGAAGTCCTCTCTCCCGCTCAGTGGACCAAAAGCATTAACATATTTCAGAAATTCCCACCAGGGATGGCTATATTTTTCTCACCCTTCCTTGATGAAACCATATCAGCTGTTTTAAAGTTGAATTTTAGCAACCTGTCCTTTACCTGGCATGCTTCATTCCAACGTCTCATCTTTTTATGTCTCATACAGAAGTTATAAAAGTCTGTATCTGAACCATGGTCCCCAGCGGATTGGTAGGAAGTACAGAAAAGTCCGATTTATAGCTTACACAGATGGAACATTTAAGACTCGTGAAGCTATTCAGCATGAATCGGGGATCCTGGGGCCTTTACTTTATGGAGAAGTTGGAGACACACTTTTGGTAAGTTGAAGAAAAGATATAAGCTTGGGTAAGAAGACAAAGGCTGAAGAGTTGTGAGTTTTTTGCAACTTCCTGTTTCAGCCCCTGTCCAATGGGCATCATCTTTTAAAATGTATATATATTACACAAATAAATGTAAATTATAAATTTGTTTTAAAATATTCATACATAGGAAACAAAGTTAATGCCACCCATTAAATCTGCCACTCTGTTGAAATACTCATGGCTTAAACTTTCATACATACCTTCTACAACTTTTTCCACTAGTGATATAGTACAGGAACCAGCAGACTAAGGGCTGTGAGCCAAATTTGTCTCATAGTCTACTTTTGGAGAACCTGTGAACGTAGAAGGATTTTACATTTTTGAGAGCTGTAAGGAAAAGAATGGGGCTTCCCAGGTGGTGCTAGTGGTAAAGAACCCGCCTGCCAATGCAGGAAACATAAGAGATGTGGGTCTGATCCCTGGTAGGAAGATCCCCTGGAGAAGGAAATGGAAACCCACTCTAGTATTCTTGCCTTGAGAATCCCCATGGACAGAGGAGCCTGGTGGGCTGCAGTCCATGGCATTGCACAGAGTCGGACCTGACTAAAGTGACTCAGTAAGGAAAAGATAACAAGGATGTGTAACAGAGAGTATATATAGCCCACAAAGCCTAGAGCATTTACTATCTACCCATCCCTTTCCAGAAAACATTTCATGACCTTGATGGAAGATATTAGTAACACTTATGCTGCAGAGAACAATGGTTTAAAAAAAGCAGGGATATTTTTTCACAATCAGTTTACAGATAGATGGTCATGTCAATGAGGGAAAAAAAATGCACAACCTAAAAAGTGGAGAGTTACATTTTATTCAGTTAACATTCTTAGAACTTAAAGCTGGGGAGAGAGCATCTCAAATAACTTTGAGAGAACTCCTCTGATGAGGGGAGCCATGATATATAGGAGTCTTTGCAACAAAGACTTCCCTGGTGGCTCAGACGGTAAAGTGTCTGCCTATGATGCAGGAAACCTGGGTTCGATTCCTGGGTGGGGAAGATCCCCTGGAGAAGGAAATGGCAACCCACTCCAGTACTCTTGCCTGGAAAATCCCGTGGATGGAGGAGCGTGGTGGGCTGCAGTCCATGGGGTCACTAAGAGTTGGATACGACTGAGCGACTTCCCTTTCTTTCTTTGCAGCAAAAGGTAGGTAGTCAGACTGTCAAAAGATTCATTGGTAATTAAAGAAAACTAGATATGTCAAGTTGAGGAATTTAGGGCTTTTCTGTGCATGGGAAGATCCCAGAATGTGCTCAGTGAAATCATTCCTTTGATCTGCACCTCAGCTATCTGGGGCCAGGATCCTATGTTTTCACATCCTGAGTTTCCTCAAGCTATACCATTGGGGGTGGCTTCAGTTTGCTGACCGCTAGATGGCAGGCATTCCTTGTTTCCAGCTTAAGTTCCCCAAGGACTCAATTGTTGAGGGTGGCTGCAATTGCTGATGACTGCAGCATCCGTTGCTTACTGATATGGCAGGCAGCATTACTTTTTTTTTCCTTTTTGTTAATTATGAAAGTATGATAACGCATTTACAGGAAACTTGGGAAATACACATACTTCCACTATATATTGCAATTATTTTTAAAGTAGGTAAATGAAGATTTTAGTTGGAGTTTCAATACCAAACTCTCAAAAATTAATAGAATGAATATACAGAGAAGGAGAAGGATATAGTAGACCTGAAAGGCACTGTGAACCAATTCAACATAATTGAAATTTGTACAATTTTCACGCAACAGTAACATACAAATTCTAATCAAGTCCCTATAGACTATAAATTAGGAGACCCTGGAAGATATCTAGGGACATAAAGCAAGGTGTAAAAATTTCATGATCTAAAGGTGTTGAAATCATACAGAGTCTGTTCTCTTATCACCGTGAAATTATGTTAGAAATGGCCATCTTTTGCTTATATATTTGTAAAAGGCTTTATGTATTACAGATATTAGCACATTATTATTTACCTTTCATGTATTTTTCTCAGTATGTCACTTGTACTTTAACTCCTTTATGATGCCTTTTTCCCTATAAAGATTTTCAGTTTTAATATAGTCAAGATCTTTGTATCAGTCTTTACATTTATATTTTTCTGAATATTTTTCATTTATGTTTTCTGCCTAGGAGCATCTTCACCACCCCCTAAGAGATGAAAGAAATAGTCTACTATATTTTATTCTTTTTGTGTTTACAGTTTTGTTTTTATAATAAGCATTCTAATTGCTCTGGAAGTTACTTTTGGGTATAGAGCATTGTGTCAAATAGGGATTTCTGCAAGTGACAGCCATTTGGCCCAATCAATTTTTCTTCACTAATTTAAAAATGCCTTTTTTATTATATGCATGCATGCTTAGTGGTGTCTGACTCTTTGTGAGCCCATGCACTGTAGCCCACCAGGCTCTTCTGTCCATGGGATTTCCCAGGCAAGAATACTGGAGTGGGTAGCCATTCCCTTCTCTAGGGGATCTTCCTGACCCATGGATCAAACCCAGGTCTCCTGCATTGCAGGCAGATTCTTAACCACTGAGCCACCTGGTAAGTTCTTTTTATTATATACTAAAATGCTGAAATCTGTTCTCTTTAACTGGTCTGTTACCATACTGTTTTAATGACTACAATCTTGTAATATGTTTTGATATTTGTAGGGCACATCTTTCTTCATTGCCCTTCTTTAATATTTTAGTTAGCTATTATTGTACATTTTTCTTTTTGAATTTTATTTACCTGTTTTTAATTAGTAAGAGTAACTCAAAAGGCAAAAAAGTGTGTGCAAAACAAAAGGAAACTTTCCTTCCTTCCAGACTTCTAGTCCCCTAGTCTGAGCTGCAATTTTGCTGTCAGTTTTTCATATTCCCTTTCAGGAATCATGTAAGTTATACAAAGACATGCATAAATTACATATACTACATTCCATGGGGTTGCAAAGAATCAGAAACAACTGAGCAACTAACACCATAGAAATACATGTGCATATATTTCACATAAAAACAGAAGCATGATGTAGATTTTTCTGTGCAAGTGTGTTCAGTCGCTTACTTGTGTCTGACTCTTTTTGACTACATGGACTGTAGCCCACTAGGCTCCTTTGTCCATGGAATTTTCCAGGCAAGAACGCTGGAGTGGGTTGCCATTTCCTTCTCCAGGGGATGCTTCCAACCAAAGGCTTGAACCCCCGTCTCCTGTGGCTGCTGAATTGGGAGGTAGATTCTTTACCACGGAGCCACCTGCGAAGTCCCTGCAAATTGTTCTGTACATTGACTTAAAAATTTTAACAATATATCTTGGATATCATTTCATATCAAGATATATAGGTCTACCTCAGTTCAGTTCAGTTGCTTAGTTGTGTCAGACTCTGCAGCCCGATGGACTGCAGCATGTCAGGCTTCCCTGTCCATCACCAACTCCCAGAGCTTGCTAAGACTCATGTCTGAGTCAGTGATGCCATCAAACCATCTCATCCTCTGTCGTCTCCTTCTCCTCCTGCCTTCAATCTTTCTAAACATCAGAGTCTCTTACAATGAGTCAGTTATTTGCATCAGGTGGCCAGAGTATTGGAGCTTCAGCTTTAGCATCAGTCCTTCAGTGAATATTCAGGATTGATTTCCTTTAGGATTGACTGGTTTGATCTCCTTGGAGGGACTCTCAAGAGTCTTCTCCAACACCACAGTTCAAAAGCATCAATTCTTTGGCACTCAGCTTTCTTTATGGTCTAACTCTCACATCCATACATGACTGCTGGAAAAACCATAGCTTTGGCTAGACAGACCTTTGTTAGCAGAGTAATGTCTCTGCTTTTTAATGTGCTCTCTAGGTTTGTCATAGCTTTTCTTCCAAGGAGCAAGTATCTTTTAATTTCATGGCTACAGTCACCATCTGCAGTGATTCTGGAGCTCTATAAATAAAATCTGTCACTGTTTCCATTGTTTCCCATCTACTTGCCATGAAGTGATGGGACCAGATGCCATGATCTTAGTTTTTTGAATATTGAGTTTTAAGCCAGCTTTTTTACTCTCTTCTTTCACTTTCATCAAGAGTCTTTTTAGTTCCTCTTCACTTTCTGCCGCAAGGTTGGTTTCATCTGCATATCTGAGGTTATTGATATTTCTCCTGGCAATCTTGATTCTAGCTTGTGTTTCATCCAACCCAGCATTTCACGTTGGTGAACCTCATTCTTTCATTTTTCTGTGTTGTGAACTTACATATGCTGAATCCTGTGAGGCTTTTCTGTTAATGTGAAAATTGGAGGATTATTTTTTACATTGTATACCGAAATTATCAAATTTATCCAGAAGTAGAGAGAATAGTAAAATAAACTTCCTTGAATCCATCACTCAGCTTCAACATTTAGTAACAAATGGCTAATCTCATTTCATCTGTAAACCAACTAGGTCTAACAGACATCTATAGATCAGGCCACCCAACTCCAATAGAATACATATTCTTCTCAAATGCACACAAAACATTCTCCAGGATAGACTATATATACATTAGGCCACAAAACAAGTCTCAAAATTTTAAAGAAAACTGAAGTCCAAAATTCCTTTTGAATATAAATGCAAAAATCCTCCACAATACATTATTAAACCAAATCTAGCAACACTTTTAAAAGATCATACACCATAATCAAGTGAGATTTATCTCAGTAATGTAGGGATGATTAAAATATGAAAATTAGTACAACTCAACTTATTAATGAAAAAGGACAAAAATCATGTGATCATGTAATAGGTGAAGAAAAAGGGCTTGGCAAAATCCATTACCCATTCATGATAGACAAAACTCTCAGTATACTAGCAACACAATGCAAGATCCTTAACTTGATGAATAACATTTAAGAAAAATGTACAGTATGGTGAAAGACTAAATGTTTTCCCCTTGAGATTAGGAACAAGTTAAGATGTCCACTCTTGCTATATTTATTTAACACTGTTATTGTTGTTGTTCAGTCGCTCAGTCATG